CTCTCTCTCTCTCTCTCTCTCTCTCTCTCTCTCTCTCTCTCTCTCTCTCTCTGAGGGACTGTGTTCTCCGCATCTCAAACGAATCTTCTCGCTCCTGCGCGAAGAGACCGTTGAGCAATTAATTCGCGCGCGCTTAATACAATTGGACACACGTGCGCCGATGATCGTGCGGGACGAAAGAGACTCGGCCCGGCACACCGACGTCTGGTATTCGGATGTAACCAGCTGGTCGACGAAGAAAACGACGTCGGCACAATGTAGGGCGATTTCATTGGGCCGGAGTTATAAATAGACTTTCATGTTCCATAGTTATCAATAAGAGATGCCGGCTGCCGTGCACGGTAGCACAGTGACGGTACTCTCCGCAGACACCAAGGCGCGTCGCTGGCATACGTCGATGTAAGCTTTTTATTCCGCGCCGGTGACGCAAACAATAGCTGTCGTGTCGTAAATAATAAGTGTCCACGGCTTTTGGTCCAAGGGGAGGGGGTGGATGCGTGGGTGGATGAGTTTCGCTTTGAAAGATACCGAAATCGTGCCGGAACACTAGGTTGCTGGATGCATTGCGCAAGACAATCCGCGCGTCCACGCACGAGTACTACTAACGCCTCCGTTGATAGTGATTGCTGCACGTGGCCGGTCGCTTCACTCGGATTACAACCTTTGGACGTAAGTAACAACGTATTAAACACGGGGAACGTCGCGGAGCTTTTACGTGTCGCGTGATGGCGTGCGCTCGGCTGGCGCGGAACGTAAATATTGCTACTGCTCTATACTACTTACTACCGCCACCAACGCGCAACCGAAACTTTGTGCCGTGAAATCCGTCATGTTTCCGGCGTGTGCTGTCGTCTCTGGCCGTCTCGACACATTATGCACTACGAAAATTCAGTCGCAACTCGCGAGCCCGCGAGGCGAGATTAAATTGCAAGCCTGTTGAACAGCGCCAATTGCACCACGGCGGCACGCATTTGTAATCGGTGCACAACCGCTGTAGGTGAGTGGGAAACTTTTCACGGCGAAAACAATACGAAGGGAGGAGGAGAAAAAACAAGCAGCAGAATCCGCTTTGGAAACATTTTAACTCGGGGGATCGCGGACTTGCGCGTTTCAAATATTGCCGGCTCGAGTCCTGTTCGCGGTCGTGAAAGAGAATGACAGTAGGAGGAAACGCGAGGGGAGGAAGGCGCCGGGAGGGGAAGAGGGGATCTCGAGACCGCGTACAATGCATAAAAGTAAACGTGTGGAGCGTGAATATACGTGGAGTGATATTCACGATATGTATGCACGACTGGTCACAACTCAGCACGTATACGAAACATTTATCAGACTGTTGTACGTGGCATTTAGCTGGTCCACGCGTTTCCCAAGTATCGTCGTGGCAAGACCGTTCTCGCGAGATCGATACAATTATTTGCGATACACGATTCGATTTGCGTCACAACTTGCGCTGCTGTTGCGACAACGTCATTGCTCAATTAACGATTCAACCAAGGAACTTCGCGAAACGATTCGTAAACTTCGTTTATCCCGACGAAATATTTCAAGCGCAGTCGGGCAGCGCTTTTTCTACTTTCACAGCCCCCCCCCCCCCCCCCC